AATGCACCTGTAAGCAAGTACACAACCCTTAAGGGCATGCAGGGGTCAAATTGCACACATGACTGGCTCTGTCAATGTTGTGGTAAGTTTGGGAGATCAGAGTTACTAGTACTTAGACCCAATAGCCTTCACGGATACAGAATATGTTTTGAACTGAGTTCACCCTACTAAGTGATTCGTGAAGGATTATATAGTTTAGACAATGTTGGAGACAATTTTGGAAGTGCGTTTTACTGTTTTTGATAGCTTAATAGGTTATAGTTTGGGGAGTCCTGCTGTTGAAGATGACTGTGTTTTGTCATCACTAACGTATTAATGATTGTGAAAAGCCAATCAAGCGAGAAGCTCGCATTAAAAGCTTACTTCACATCTTTAGGATTGATGGCGTATTTTTTAAGGCTGTAACTATGCTATAAGACATCTATATTATACCTGGTAGTTTCCAATGGTTTATACACATTTGTGTTCTGCTCCGTACAGACAAGAGAAAACAGCCGAATGTGGAGAACATCTGCCAGATAATGTGGCCGAGTTCTTACGTTCACAACCTGGACGGGGTGAGTCGTCAAATGTTTATGTATACTTTTGTTCATCACATATTTAGAACACAGCTGATAATTAAGGAATGCAGGAAAAAGAACTATGAAATAGCCTCAGTCTGAGGTTTCCTGCTTAATACCCTTGTATAGCATCCTCCATATAGCCTGGGTGCCATCCCCAGTTGTAAGTTAGCGGGCGGAATACTACTGGGGATGGCACCTAGGCTATCCTCCATAGGCACTTTGAGCGGAGATCTTGCATACTTTAATATAATGTGTTTTTTCCCCAATGGCATCTGTTTTTTAGTACTCAGTTTGTTCCCCACAAAAGCCTGACTTGTAGTCTGGCATGGAGGCTAAGAAGTGTTTACCGTTTTGGGATGTTCATAATGTGCATAAAATCTTGTATTATTTCATGACATAACAATTTCAGGCGAACTTCATTTCTACAGATGATACAGAATTCTACTAGTGCAAAGCTGAAATGAATTCTAGAGTTGCAAAGTTGCAACAATGTACACGCACAACTTTTTTTTTACAGGGCCCCATCCACGCACGCGCAGGAGCCATCGCACGACTGCTGTTGGGAGATGACATGGCCTTCGATTTCGACATGCTGATCTACAAGGTATGACTAAGGCCACACCAATTTAATTTCTTGGTTAACGGATTCGCCTCTTCATTTTTTTCTGATTTGCAAAAAAAAAATAAAAATTCAGAATCAACTGCAAAATGCTCATATTTTGCCCTGAACAGTTGAAAACAGTCCTTTTCTTCTTCTTCCTAGTTGCCACAGTTATTCCATCTTTCAATGCAGTGGTATCATTAAAAGTTCAAAATTCATCGTTTAAATTTTGAACCATCCTGGTGTGTTGACTTCATGGCTCCTATTGTACCATTTTCGGCCATAGTAGGATGCCTAGGCCTGTTTTTATTTTTATTTTTTTTTCGCCCGCCCGCTCCATTATTTTGCTAGAAAAATCCGTTAACCAAGAAATTAAATTGGTGTGGCCTTATTGATTTTTTATAAAAGGGTAGCGACTTTAAAATATAGTATATATTTTTGTACCTTAGTGGGGACTTAATTAATTCCTAGTAGACACATTTGACCTGTCTGTTTAGATGCAAGACAGAGAAAACTTTCGAAATTCACGAATGTTTTTTCTCCAAGTTTGGCAGAAAAGTAGAGCTCCATCGGTTTATCAAGATTATTTTCAACCGCAATGATCAGAGAAAACGACCGTATTCAAAAGTTTAGAACTTTTACAGATAGTAGGAGAAAGTTGTGAACATTTTTTTGGATCAACCCAACTTTGTGCACAAACTTTCGTTCCCTATTCTTCTGACTTTTAACTGTTTCCAGGCTCCCCAGACGAACACCTGCACCCCCTGGCACCAGGACGAGGCTTACTGGCCCGACATGCCGGACAAGCGAGCCGTCTCCTGTTGGGTAAGGACCATACAAATATAGGGTACAAATATAGGGTGCCAACTTGGCACCCTATATTTGTACCCTATATTTGTACTGCCAACATATAGGGTAGAACCATAGAGTGCAAATATAGGGTGCAAACATAGGGTAGAACCACACTGTACAAATATAGGGTGCAAACAGGGTAGAACCATAGGGTACAGATATAGGGTAGAGACATAGGGTACAAATATAGGGTACAAATATACGGCACCGCTTTGATTCAACGTTTATCCAAATGTCACAACAGAGCATCCAGTTGTGTCATTGTATCATTTAAGATATATAAACGGTTGCAATTTTTTTTTACACAAAAAAAACTGTCTAAGCAGAGGCTTCTAGGCTTCTTTAAGCAGATTTTGACATGCACGTTTTTGTTGGGCTTTCATTTATGTACTGGTTGCCAGCCAAACCATGTTAAATGTTCCTGGACCCCCCACCCCCTCAGGTTGCTCTTGATGACGCGACAGTTGATAACGGCTGTATGTGGTTCGTTCCCGGGCCTCACGGGCAGCCAATCCGGCCGCATCGGGCAGCTAAGGAGGGGGTCCATGTGCTGATGACTGACCACTGCTCAGAGGTGAGACCACTGGCATGTCAACACACACATACACACGAACACACACATACACCTACATACATGTACACACACACACACACACACACACACACACGCACTACAAAGTACAAACACACACTACACGCACACACACGTGCACACACACAGACACATGCTTACACACGCACGCACACAAACACCTAGTAGACATACATGTACACACAGACACACTCTACACACACAGAGACACTTGCACACACTAGCAAGCCTATGTAGCCTAGCCTAATGTTACATTTTTCTGTGTATCCAGGCAGAGGGAAAACCCATGCCCATCCCGGCGGGTTCCTGTACCTTCCACCACGGCCGAACGCTGCACTACACACGCGGGAACAGCACGGACAGGGAACGACGCGCCTACATTGTCAACTATCGGCCAATCAGCATGGTGCGCTGGGAACGAGAGCACGACTTCGACCACGCAAAGAAAGTATGTACTGTCCATGACGAAGTTTGTACTAAAGTTTAACACATCAGATAGTTGCTCACCTCGAATTTTCAGTCCCACATCCGTCAAACTTCTTCAGGAGTGAAGTGATTCAATTACTTTGAGCACATGATCTGAGAGACACGTGACTGAATGTACTGTGGTGTGTCCTGCAATGAAACATTGAAGAAAAAATGAGTTATTCAGGGAAAAATAGGAAGGACAAAAATGATTCGAAGTAAATAATGAAAATATTCAGTACATAGTACATTCTACAAGTGAAAGATACATTCCTTTTCAAGGACAACTGAAGCAGTATGATAAAAAAATGTCTACGACTTACTACAATAAATAGTTGTTCCTCTAAGTATTATGATCCAAATATAGAAGCTAAAATGGTATCTGGCTGGCTTTGTAAAGGAACTAAAACTTACCACAGGAAAATTGGCCTCTTCCCGACTTGGTTAGATGATGAGCTTGGTTCTGACAGGTTCCTTGGTGATTTAACCAGCCTAAGCAGACTATAAAATTAATTTCAGGGCATCCAGACGGTACTTGACCTCGACAAGAAAGCAGATGGCTGAGAAGAGACCTGCTGCTGCTTGGTTATCCAATCTACAACCAAGGACTTCATATTCAACTAGAGAGGCCGACATTTACTTTGGAGCAAATACAGCGATGGGTTCACCACATTTACGACATGGCAGGGAAAGATAGCGAAACACAAGGGAAAATAATGTTTTACATGGTATGAAGTAACATACAACTAACAGTTGGATAATTATTCCTTATACCATTGGTTAGAATTTTTAATTGTATAATGCAAAACTGTTGATTTTTAAAGATAATAAGAAGCGTTAATGCCCCGCATTCCAATGCCGGAGCAGGAAACCTTGAAATATCTACCAAAACACTTGAATACAGACATACTGTCAGTTAGCCTCCTGAGTGGTTTGGTGAAGCCATAACAATATCTGTATCTGTATAGCAGTTATAACTGCACCTCGGTGTAAGACACCAGTTAGGCATTAGCTCAGTCAGGCACATGGAAGGGTAGAGACAGCTTTAATAAAATATTTTGTTGTTAACAAAATAACCTCCAGAAAAATGGGATATGGTTAAATAAATTAGAGCTGCCATGCTGTATTATGAAAATTAAATAATGTGGAATGAACTGCTGCCCACCAGTGTCAGGGACCCCTGCAGCAGTATAATCAAAACCTGGATACTACAACTGGTAACACTACTAAACATTTGCTGTTGTTCTAATGTAGCAGAAGGACCCTGATAAGATGAACCAAAACAATAGAAAGGCACCTTTAGCAAGGATATGTCTGAACGATCATTTCTAACACTCATTAAGACTGATTAGGCTTTTTAAATATCCAAAACATTTGTATATTAGTATTATTACAACTCTTACACAATCTTTGATACAAAATATACAAAATTACAGATACAAACTTGTTTACTCTGGGTGAAGTAATTGTTAAGTTACAACTAAACAATCTAAACATATAAGGGCATGTTTTCTGAAGAGGAATGGCATCACTTCAAGTTTGTTTTTGTAATTGCTGTGTGATAACTAAATAGAACCCCATGTGATACTGCTAGTTATCACTCGGGCCGGAACACCCGTATCGAACGTTATCGTGGCTAAGGTATGACATAAATATCATTACTTCTCTGTGTTGTGTTTTTTGTGCAAATTATTAAAATAAACAATTAAAAAAAACGTCATGTGTGATCATAAAAGGGAATGGTCTGCACAAATTTGGCCACTGGACAACAACATAGTTGATGTTTCTGCCGAATGAAAGTAAAATATATTTTGGAATGGTATCACTTCCAGTTTTCCTTGCAGTTGCAGTTTTGTAATAAAATGTGTTTCTGTTGTAATTTTCTAACATTAAATCTAACAAATCTAAATTAACAGTGAATCAAACTAGATATTTGAGGTACACAAGATGACAGCTACTCAGTTACTATACATTTGATGTTTTCCGCCATATGAAAAGAACCTCAGCCGATGCTAGCTCTCTGCCTCTAACCCAGCTGCACCTTTGTCCACAGTACTGTCCGCATCAGGCTGTTCTTTCTGAATCTCTGTCACGATTTCTGTGATCATCTCTTCTCCTATGACCACCGGTACCTCCTCTTCCTCCTCCTCCTCCTCCCCTTGTTCTTTCCTTCCCTCCATCTGCATCTGTTCGAGGATGTCGCTCGCCGTCAGATGCTCGCCTGTCACGAAGCTGAGCGACAGCCGCTCCGAGCCGCCGCTCGTGTTGATCCCATCCAGCGAGGTGTTGTGCGCCGCCGAACTCGACGGAACGATGACCGAAACAGTCTGCTGTCTGCTCGGAGTACTCGTGTTCATGTTTGTCGTGCTCACGACCGGTATGACCAGCGTGTACTGGGCGGTGGCGGCGGCAGTGGTGGTAGTAATGGTGGGTTGGCTTCCTTCGTCGTCGGTAAAGACTAGCTCCTCCACCTCACCTACAACAACACTGCCGTTTAATGCGGTACCCTGGATGAGCTGAGGAATGGGCTGGGACGGTTCGAACCTTACTGGACTCTGTATCATCACAGTCTCGACCATTTCTTCTACAGGTGGGCTGTTTTCTTGCTCGTTGCTCGACCCCTGGGATTGACCCCTGCCCTCCGACCTTGGACCCGTCTCCCCAGGGATGTAGAGCCAGCGCTTACCCGGGGAGAAGCGGGGAGGGCTGGAAATGGGCGACGCGCGGTTGACGACGGTTGGCGGGCGGGGCCGCTTCCTGGTGGGCTCGATGTTGATGCTGAAGGTCTGAACCCGCTTCGGTTGCCTCCCCGCTCGCGTCGGTCCCTTCAACATCTCCACGATCCTCGTCTCCTCCTCTTCGTTCTCATCGTCAGCATCCTCCGTGTGTTCCCTCCTGCTGCCGTCCGCATCCCCGTCCCTGCCCATGTCAGGACGGGCATAGCTGGGGAACCCTGCTGCATTCTTGGGAGCAACTCCCAGGGGAGAGGACAGCCTCGCCGAGACTGCCTCTCTGTCATGCTCACCACTGGCCTTTCCTGGAGAAATAACCAAAAATTTTTTTTAAAAGATACATGCTGATATCGTGATTTTCGGGAGAAACGGTAAGAGGGGAAGACAGCCTGGCAGAGACAAGCACTCTGTCAAGTCGCTACTGGCCTTTCCTGGAGAAGATAAAACACAGTCACTGATGAGAGAAGGTTACAATTATGACATCCTCTTTACCCCAGTTCACCGGCTTTATTTGTACAAATAAGTTAAATAGCTAACCTTGATTCGTAAAGGACACACCTACTGACTACCCTAACCTGCATCAATGTACATAACACCAGACTTACGTTTCCCCCCCTGCTCGTTGTTTTCCGCCCCCCTCGGCCGTCCCTTCCCCCTGCGGGGGGCGTGCTCCTTCCTCTTCTTCTGCTTCTCATCTTCAGAGTCCGACTCAGACTGGTTGAAGGTCGACATGTCAAACTCCTGTCTAAGGGCTGGAGGGAAGGAACACAAAAAACAACCTCAAAATTATGATTAACCCTACTGACCTAAACACTTCTAGCCTGTGTGCCATCCTCTGTAGTTTCCGCCGGAGAATTTTGGAATGTGTATGTGTGCATGTGGTCTTCTTACAACTTTTCCTATAAACTTACTGACTTCAACAGAATTTGTGCAGTACAAATCTAATGCAGCACAAATCTAAATACAAACTTCTCTTCAACTTGTGTGACTTAAATACTTCTGGTGATGTCCTTGTATTATATCTTTATATACTCTTATATATTAAGTCTTGTTGAATACATTTTGTACAATGTACATTGAGCAGGAAATCACTTACAGAGTGCCCTGTCCACCAAATTCCTGTTTTGCTTCTCTTCCTTCTTAAACTTGGCCTGAAATGTACAAATAATTAAAAATAGATATCAATTGGAAATATACATATCAGAAACTGTAAAAATGTCATGACCTTGCAAAAAGTGTGCAAAAAGACATAAATTAGAACCTGACCTTGAGCTGTGCCCTTGTCCTTTTGGGTAACATGGCCGCCATGAGGGTGAAGTCTGTTCCAACTGTGCTCAGGGCCTTGTAGAACTTTATTGTCTCTGTGGAGGAAATCAGAATTGTGGGAGGAAGTTTTAGTAGTTCCAGGGTAATAGAAAAAACATGCATGCTTAGTTGCATTATCTGTCTGTATCTGTATCAGTATTGCCGTATAACCGCCTTTTGGTGTAACACACCAGCTGAGGTCACATTATAGAGGTTACAGCAAAATATGAAAACCATGACAACAAAACTATCTCAGAGATTTGCAGTCATATCTTTCTCAGATCTTGCCATGCCTGTTTTTCCAAAGAATGGTATTCTGGTGTTATTGGCAGATGAAGGAAAAGCCGGAGTTTCGTACCTTTCATGTTCCATGCCTGGGTCTGCGGGACCTTCTTGCGGAAGCTGGAGTATGTCGTGTTGGACTCGTCCTCCCGAACGATGTCACCGTCTGAACCTGCCTTCGCTGGGGTGGAAACGGTCAGGCTGAACAGAGAAGGGTAGAGATGCACATGGCTTTATTTCATTTTATTGGTTCAGCTGTACAAAAAACAGCCAGGGTTGTCCTACTAGTTACAAGACTATCTTAAGCTAACCCTGGAGACAATTATTAAGAACAACAAGCTACATAAGACAAGGACAGGGCATGTTGCTTTATTCAAATCTTTTGTTACCTTCTGTTTTGACAAAATAACCTCTACAAAAAACGGAGTCCAGAGATAGTACAATATCTTAGAATTGACATGTTGCAATGCTTTGATGACCAATGACGAATTTGGTCCATTTGAAGTCACAAAACTCAAGTTTAAACTCTGCCAAAGGACCAGTCAGAGTAGCAAGTTGCAACTATAATGTACATTTCTTAGCTTGTAATAGTAACGTATTTAACAAACTTTTATCCTAAAAATTCTTTTAGATATTTGTAACTACACATGTATTTGTCCACTTGTATTACCACTGCGAAACTGTAAACTTTCCTTCAATGAGAAATAAAACCAATCACTACACTAGCTTGAGCAAAACAACATACCTCTGTTCATTGAGAACGATAGTTCCATCCTCTGCCACCCTGACTTGCGGCACCAACAGACTGTCATCCCCGTCTGCCTCTTCTTCTGCTGGAGGCTTGTCTTGGCTGGAAAAGGGCAGCATTATACAGAAATGTTAGCAGAACGTACCGCACCTGCGAGAAAACCGTAATATATTGTGCATAGCACGTCGGCAGAATGTCTGATATAGGGTTGTATTCGCACATTTAAGGTTAACTTCCCGTCTGTAGTTTCCAAATGTTATGTCAGAAAAGATGTTGTATGCAACAGGCAAATTTCTGATGCAACGTTGACCAAAAATCCAACAAAAAACAAAAAAAAATCAGGGTTTTGTGCAGGTGCAGTACATTCTGCCAACGTGCTTCACTATAAAGAAATGTTATAAGTATCATAACCCCTAAAGCTTCCATTCAAGAAGGCAAATGAGTTTACAGTCTTACACAGTTTGTACCTACTGTACAAAACTGGTAACATCCAACAGGCCTTGGTTCAATCTTTACCTTCCAGCTTCCTCCAACAGTTCTTCCTCCATCTCTTCTTCTTGCCCTCTCTCGCTCATTGCATCAACGTCTTGTTTCTGCTTCTTCTTTTCCTTCAGTTTTTTGGCCTTTTCTTCTGTTGACCTACATTAACAGAAAATGTAATGGTTCCTACTATCATTGACAGAACAACATAGCTCAAAACATGATCAGAGAAAAATGGAAAACAGTCATTTAATCTAAAAAAATCAGTCTGGGGTTCATTGGATGTCAGACGAGTTGAACCTTAGTCAACTTGCCCCATGCCTAAGTAGACCAAGTTGTACCAACACCTAGGTTCAGCCCTAACCCTTACAATGGCAAGTGTCAATGTTTCTTTTTTTAGTTGACAACGGTCCGTTCTGTCCTGATTCTGGACCTGACTTTGGTGGTTGATTAGTACTATAATTTTCCCCATTGACACAAGCATTAAGAATCCTGTCTATAGTGACCACTTGTCCATATAGCCCAGATTTTATCAGCCCCTGATTGGTCTTCTCGAGCAGGTGTAGAAAGTTTGGTACTTACTTCATCATGTTAGTTTTGGGGTTGTAGTAAATGGGTACTTACTTCATCATGTTAGTTTTGGGGTTGTAGTAGATGAGGTCAGCCATGGTCATCCTGTTCTTGTCCGGAGGTTTGCTCTGGTTGTGCCTCTGTCGGCGCTTCGCTGGGCCCTGGAAGTGAAAATGTAAAAGTGCTCTTCAACTAGTTCAGCTTAATAAACTTTTTCTTTGACAAAGAACAGTTGAGCCAGTCTTCCACTGGTCATGACAGAAAATACAGACGTTATGTACAGTATTTACACTTTTTACTTTTACACTATTTACACTTGCACTTGGGAATTTCCCCTACCTAGTCTGCCCTTTACCTCTTCTTCCAGATTGTTCTTTCTCCCTGCCTCTCAGTCTGTGTGGAGTGTACATCCTACAAACAAACAAATAAACAAACCTCTTCCTCCTCCTGCTCCTTCTCCCGTCTCCTCTCAGGCTGAATGTTGGGTGTGTACATCCCGCTGACTCTCCTCTCATGGTGGGGGATGGTCAGCGGACTCTAAACCCTCCCGACTGTCCACAAACAAACAAACAAACCTCTTCCTCCTCCTGCTCCTTCTCCCTTCTCCTCTCAGGCTGAATGTTGGGTGTGTACATGCCGCTGATTCTCCTCTCGCGGTGGGGGATGGTCAGCGGACTCTAAACCCTCCAGACCGTCCACAAACAAATAAACAAACAAACAAACAAACCTCTTCCTCCTCCTGCTCCTTCTCCTCTCAGGCTGAATGTTGGGTGTGTACATGCCACTGACCCTCCTCTCACGGTGGGGGATGGTCCGAACCGTCCACAAACAAACAAATAAACAAACAAACAAACAAACAAACAAACAAACCTCTTCCTCCTCCTGCTCCTTCTCCCTGCGTCTCTCAGGCTGAATGTTGGGTGTGTACATGCCACTGACTCTCCTCTCGCGGTGGGGAATGGTTAGCGGCCGCTCTGAGCCGTCCCGACCGTCCACGCTCGATGTGGAGTCCAGTCTGCGTCTCGGGATCACCAGTGGGGGAATGTGCCGTGGAGGGGGTTTACTGGGAGGGAGGGAATGCACATGTGGTAAGCTTTTCGAAACCTGGACATCTTTATTCAAGTTTACATCGTTGTATTATTCCAAGGTTTGTGCTAATGTAAATTTAGAATAGAATAGGTCATAAATGGGCCATGTACCCATAAGGTAGTCAGGCAGCATTCTTGTTCAATTTTTGTTGTTCAGGTCCCTGAATAAAGGCTTACACTTAGATTTCACAAGAGTAGTACTAGGAAGGAGGGAATGCACATGTGGTAAGCTGTGGGAAACTGGACTACAGTCAAATTTAGTGAACAACTCTATATAAGGCCGCCACCAACTACCCCCCATCTACAACACACTCGTCCAGTCACGTGACCTGTACTGACATTTCAACCCTGGGTCACGTGACTGCCCTACTTATTAGCTGAAGAAAGTTGGTGGATGCCGTCTGAAAGCTCCTACGTTTACAGAACTTTGTCGTGCTTAACAGTTTTAAATCCTTCCTTTTACAACTCTACATAAGGACCACCGATAGGCGATATGGCCACTTTTTGATTGTCCCTTACTTACTAGTAGACAATTTTTTTGATTGACATAAGCATAAAGAATCATACGTCGATGAAGGTTAGACATCCAGGTAATACGATATGCCAAAAAACAGTTACTCAAGCAACTGGATATGATTTTGAAACGTCAGACGTTTCAGCTAGTATCCACTAGCTTTCGTCAGTGACTGAGAGACCAGAGGGGAAAGCAGGTTTATATACACAACCTGTTGATTGAATGATATGCAAATAAAGTGAAGACAAATTTTTGGAAGTCGAAAAAGGAACAAAAGTCAGACAAGTCAAGACAAGATGATGCAAATTAGTCTGAAAGCTCCTCTTATACAGGACAGGAGCTTAAGTGTTGTCTGTCCTCGGGGCTGGGAGTGCCAAATCCCAAGTGCCGGAAAGATCGACCCGTAGCCCCCCTTCCCTGTTGAGGGTGGGGTTGTACATTCTTTCATATATTGCCTCTTTGCCTTATTGCCTCTTGAAAAAGAGGGTAGCTGCTGACTTCTTTGACCACATCAACCAGATAGATGATAACATCAAGTTCACACAGGAGCCAAGTCATGACAACATGCTCCCTTTCCTAGACACCAAAACTATCGTAGAGGAAGATGGTAACCTTCGTTTCGAAGTGTACAGGAAACCAACCCACACTGATCAGTACCTGGCCTTTGATTCCCACCACCCTTTGGAACACAAACTAGCAGTGATCAAAACTCTCTTCCATCGTGCAGACAACATTGTCACTTCAGACCAAGCCAAAACGGACGAACATAGACACCTCCGAGGTGCCCTGGCTAAATGTGGCTACCAAAACTGGACTTTCAACAAAGCGCTCAAACCTTCAGATCAGTCTAAGAAAACCCAGAAGTGCAAACCATTGACCAACAAAAACAAGGCCAACATCACTATTCCGTATGTCCAAGGAGTATCTGAGAAACTCCGACGGATCTTCCAAAACTTCAACATAGCCACTAACTTCAAACCTCACTCAACCCTCAGACAAAGACTGGTACACCCTAAGGGCCGACCTCACAAGGGTACCAAGGCGAATGTTATTTACAGACTCAAATGTGAGGAGCCCAATTGTAACAACACCTACATCGGAGAGACAAGTCGACCGCTTAAAGTAAGGTACAAAGAACATTGCCGACCTAGTGCCAACGGCTACTCCTCAGCTATTTTCCACCACCTACAACACAACCAGGGTCACTCTTTCAAACTCGAGTCCACGGATATCTTAGACCGCGAAACACGCTGGTGGGAACGGGGTGTTAAAGAGGCAATATATGAAAGAATGTACAACCCCACCCTCAACAGGGAAGGGGGGCTACGGGTCGATCTTTCCGGCACTTGGGATTTGGCACTCCCAGCCCCGAGGACAGACAACACTTAAGCTCCTGTCCTGTATAAGAGGAGCTTTCAGACTAATTTGCATCATCTTGTCTTGACTTGTCTGACTTTTGTTCCTTTTTCGACTTCCAAAAATTTGTCTTCACTTTATTTGCATATCAATCAACAGGTTGTGTATATAAACCTGCTTTCCCCTCTGGTCTCTCAGTCACTGACGAAAGCTAGTGGATACTAGCTGAAACGTCTGACGTTTCAAAATCATAATTATCCAGTTGCTTGAGTAACTGCTTTTTGGCACATAAAGAATCATGTCTATAATGACCACCTGTCAACATAGACCAGGTTTAACTGGGCACATATGAGTGGTCTTCTTGGGCACTTTTGACGGATTACTCAACTTTACATCAATGAATTTCTTCCAATGCCCATTCACACACTGTATGACATAAAAAGGTCTTACAGACGTTACAGTTACACAAATATTATTGGATATATTACAGGTGAGCCAGTCCTTCAATTGGACCTAAGAAAATGTTCACAGCCTTTATTCTTTAGGAATGTCTCACAATAGTTAGATATATGATATTGGACATTTTACAGGCAAGTCAGTCCTACAGTTTGATCTCAAAGTGTCCAGAGAGTTTTTACCAACCTCCCAAAAGGCTCAGACATCCTTTGTACGGGTGGTGGCTCCTGGAAAGGTTTTTCTGCAGGATCCTCCTTCTTCTCCTTCTTCTTCTCCCCATCACTCTGCCCTGGCTCCTTCTCCTCTGTTACTGCAGGTTTACCTGAGGTCGATGACCCCTGTCTCGGCCGTCCCAGGTTCGGTACTGCCGTCACGCGCTTCCTACGCCCGGCGACCGACGCAGACTTCTGTCCACCATTGTTAGACGTCTTCACATCCTTCTGAATTTTACCAGCATCAGCATCGCTTGTTTTCTTGTTCTTCTCAATGTTTGATGACAAAGTGTTATCGGTGGTGCCCGAGTCAGTGGTGTTTTTGCCAGCAACTTTGTCGCCTGCAGTTTTTTCTGTCTGCTTGCTGAGTGCTTTATTTGGCTGAGTAGGTCTTACTGAAGAGATTGAATCAGTTTTCTGTGCCGGTGGTGTTGAGACATTTTGTAATGTCTTAGCTGATGTCTCAGGCTGCTTCTTGGCTTTCTCCTCAGCTGCTTGGACTGTTGTCTTCTCCTGCTTGTCGTGACCTTTTGGTTCCTTCTCTGTGACCTTGGCGGGAGGTTCTTTTGATGTGGAGGGCGTCTTACCTCTGGGTGCAGCCGCCGCTGACTTGACGTTTGGTCGGAAGACTGCCCTCGCCCGCCGCATTTTGGCACGTTCCAACAGCACTGGGAAGAATACAAAATTTCGAAGATTTGTCAGGCATACTTATAATCTTAGTTTACCACGCTTACAAGAAATCAACGTATCTTCAAGATATCTACAGTTGTTGTGAATGTCTTTTCTTAAGTAAAAACTCTACTAGGAGATTTCTTCTTTCTGCTTCTATGCATATTCCACTACTGTCACTTCCTCCCAGCCTGCAGGGCAGGGAGACCATTTAGACCTTGAATTTGACCTTCCGTCTATCAGTCTGTAGTTACACTACTTACCTTCACTTCCAGTGATTCTACCTTATTTAGATAAGTACAAACAAACAACAAACCAAATAGACAAATGCACTGAGAACTCCATATATGGACGTAACAAAAATCCAGCCACCACCAACAGTCTACTGACACTGACAGTTCAACTAATGGAATTCGGACAGCTGCACCAATAATATTGGCTTCAGTCAGGGAAAATAACTCGCTGAGTGTCACATCACCACCCAAGATGATGCAAGTGAAGCATTTTTGTTACATCAGCTGTCGATAATCATTCATGTCTTTTGACTGTAATTTCTTCTTCTTCTTCTTTGAGACATGCTAAAAAATCTACGATGATTCTGTGGCAATGACATTGCGAAATATATCTTCATCTTAGCCTGAGGAACCAGCTGCCACATGGTATGTGGATATCTGCCCTGATCTTTTAATATTATACACAGGAAAAGATTTTTTATTTTTTTGGACAAGATGAAGCATGTTCTACGGTAGACCACCAGTAGCGTCAACGTTTACAGCCTACGAGAGGGCATTCTGTCTACATTGTCCTTCATGTTACCTCCGTAAAATCTCTAAGAATCTATGGACACAAAGACAAACTGATGACTAGCTCCAACTCACCCGATTATTGCGAAAGAAGGAGAAAATCTTATCTTGCACGAGACGAAATTTTTTCAGCCACGCGCCGCCATGTTGGTTGACGTTCGAGCGCATGCGCGAGAAAAAAAATCTCCCGCCATGCAGCGTTCGATGTCAGGTCAAAGTTCACAAACATGGAGCTGAGGTCAAACCGTAAAAACGCGTGGCCAAGATTATGACGACTTTCTCAACGATTTGACGGCAGCTAGCTCGACTCCTGGCGGCAAAAATTACCGAGATGGGAAGATGATAGAGGCTAGATGCACTCTGCGGTCGCTGTGAGTTTTCTGGGCAGGCGATTGGTCGGGAGGCTGATGGTACGATGGGCCGGACCAATCAGACGCGGGGGTGGCACGCGCGAAACATCACCTCATCCAGCTGGAGATCAAACGTGCCGACACTTCAGCAGGAGGAAGAAGAACTTCAAGTCGCAGATCTGGCAGCAACAGGGGTAAGTGGGGTCCTGGATCACTGTATTAAATTAAGCAAGAAGTAAGATTTATAAATTATAGTGTGTAAAACTGCTCAGAACAAACCTTAAACATTTGAAGATCATTATTTCAGAGTACTTAGTATTCATACCTCATTTGAAGTGATCCAAACTTGGTAGGGTCTTTATATAATACTCCATAGACATGTCCAAGACAGTTACCTGTCAGGTGCACTAGGGGGTCGAGTGGGTAGCGGAAGGGTGTTTGTCCCTGAACCAAGAGGTCCCGGGTTCGTCGAGTCCTACCTTGTCACCAATCTTGTGCCCTTGGGAAAGGTAACAGCAGTGAACCTTAATCCGACATCGGAAGGTTCCACCAGGTGTTTTATCATACACTAATGCTTCCCTAATGTTTCCCTATAGACCACAGGTAGACATGGGGGACAGCAGTAATAAGAAGTTAAAGATGGCGAGTCACGACGCGGACATCGAGAGGTTTGACCAGGCGTTCCATCAGCTTGTGACGGAACTGATCGACGAAGACGCGAAAAACCCGGAGATCAGTGACGCCATGGTCAGGTTCAGACAGGTTTGGATGATTCTTACGTTTTTCCCATCATTTTAACTGTTAGTACACTGGCATACCTTTTTGGCTGCCAATAAAAAATGTACTGGGTATGTTATTACAGGGTTAGGTAGCAGGGAGAAGGTTTTGGAAGAAGTCTAGAGTTTTCCACTTTGTACTTGCCTCTTTTACAAGAATCTTAGACCAACTTCTTGCATTACATTCCTATTATTACTGTTTATGACTATTGACATTATTGTGTAGTATTTGGATGGAAAAGGTACATAGGTAGAGTATATGTAAATTCTTGCTTAAATTGATCCACTCTTATTTTCCTGATCATCAGGTGTTAGAGTACAACTGTCCAGGTGGGAAGAGGAACAGAGGTCTGAGTGTCATCACGTCTTACAGGTGAGTTACCTGGCTACAGGTGAACAGTTGCACTTTCACTTCTCAGGCATATTTGCATGGTTCTAATTTTGGATTGTCAGAAAAGTGTATCACTAAGTTACTCTCCATTAGCAGAGGTTGATGGTGGAAGGTCGTTTGCTTTTTATATATGGCCCCCTTTTTTTTTGTCGCTACCACCACCATGGGTGGGGAAATGGTTACAGACTGGCCAATTTGATACTGTCTTACCCCCACCAAAAGATCTGCTTGAAGATTATCACTAAGTTACATACTAATATCCATTTCCATCCTGCAGGTATCTCGTCAACAGTGATCAGCTGACTGAAGAGAACATTCACAGAGCCATGGTGGTCGGCTGGTGTATTGAATGGGTACGTTTGTTTGTTCTTATTTGTCTCAGATTCGACATATCACATTTTTGTGGGACCGAAGCTGATTTCCCATTACAATCTGACTTTTTAAATGATTTCAGCTCCAAGGGAGTGAAGTATAGCCTGAGTGTCAGCCTTGTTAGCTTTCGTCTTCTCCCCAAGATTGTCGTGGAGCGGATTTTGGGGAGCGGACAAAAGCTAACAAGGCTGACACTCAGGCTAAGTGAAGTACAATGTATATTGTTTGGGGCATGTTTGTGTATGTGTTCACACTGCAGTTTATGTATATTCTGCCAGGGGGTGCTTATTGTCATTGGGGATGATGTCAGTCTACTTAATTGCCAAGTTTCAGACATTTTCACTTTTCTGGTATTTCTTCTTGTTTCCAACAAGGCCAAATCCCTCAGTGTACAAAATACTTTTTTGAACCAGGTTACGAAGTGGGCAAACCTTTTTCCCGCTGTCCCTGTAAACTTAGTTTTATGTTATATACAGTATTGGGGTTCACTCTGAGGACCTGTCATTGTGATGTACATTATGTTGACTATTGTTTCACATCTATGTTTTTTTTTGTTCCCAGCTACAGGCTTTCTTCCTGGTTCTGGATGACATCATGGACCAGTCCCAGACCAGGAGAGGACAGCCCTGCTGGTACAGAGTCGTATGTAGTCTCATGTTCACATCTTATACAAGGAATTAAACCATTATCAAACTGCTTTCTGTTTGTAGCACTGTGTTCATCCCCCGATATTCTCAGTGACATATTGTGCCCTTTATTGTTTATTTGTTTATTTATTATTTGCATGTATAAAAAAAGTTACATAATCAACAATAGCAATAAGAGAATATGCGGGGTAGTAGGCCAGAAACCTAGGACCTGGTGGTTTTTCTAAAGGACCTACCCTACAAAAGGTACTTTGCACAAATTTCCTTAGGTGAAAATGAGTACCTAGCTTCGGTTAGAGATGTCCTCTCGGATTGGGATGTAAAGTTAAAAGCCATGTGTTTAAGGAGAGCCACCCCTTGAGCATGTTCCCACCACATTTAAAGAGTTGGGATCTTTGAAGGTGTAAAGTGGATTAAACGGTCTTGTGTAGTCTAACATACTGTTATTAGAGCCCTCAGCCTAATGAGTTTCAGTAAATGTCAATGGAAGAAGAAAAAGAATGACAATGATGTTTGTTTGTGTGTGCCCCTTCAGGAAGAGGTTGGGAATATGGCCATTAACGACGCCTGCTACATCGAGTCCTGCATCTACAAACTGCTGCGGAGGTTCTGCCGAGACCAGCCGTACTACGTGGACCTGCTGGAGCTGTTCCAAGGGGTAATGGACACGGGAATGTTCAGATTTTATGACGTATGGATCAAGCTAACGATATACCATCCAGTACCAATCGTATCAGGAAAGCATAATAGAATTGATATTTCTTTTCACAATCTACCCAAAATGAATTATTTATATTGTATTCAGATATTATCTGAATACATTTATCTGTCTTAATGTTTTATGGAAATAAAAATTCCTTTTGGGTAGATTGTGAAAAGAAATTTCAATTCTATTATGCCTTCCTGATAGAATAAATTAATCATCAAAAGATGTTTATAGGGTCTACAAAAATATTTCAACTGTGTAAGTTTTTGTTGACTTTCAACAAGTGGTCTTTTTCACATACTTTTTATTTAATGAAAGTTTATTGCAAATTCATGCCCGGGGGCTAATTGCAAGAACATGATAACAACAAATAAACAGTAAAAATGATAATGTAATATAATATCAATAAAAGAGTTAAGACAAAGAAGGGCAAACAACATTCAAATTATAGTACATCTGCTAATATAGCTGTTTCTAATGTGCAATCTGAAATGACTGTAGCACTGTCAACACATATTGATCACTGTTGAATGTCTCTGTTTTCAGACGACGTACAAGACGATAGTGGGTCAGTCTCTGGACCTGATCACATCCCCCGACGGGAAAGTCAACCTCAGTAACTTCACAGAGGAGAGGTAATGGCACAGGGCCTGTAGGGACACATGTTATTCTGATGGGTTTTTTGTTTTGAGTGCAATTATGAATAGTGATGTTGAGAGGAGAGTAATAGTGACAAGAACGATGTGATGAAAAAGTAATGATGATGAGTCTTGATGATGATAGCAATGAGAATCAAAATGGAATGAGAATATTGACAATGCTTTACACACTCTCCATCTCATCATTTGCATCATCTCATGTTCATCAAAATCTGATGATGATGGAATGATGAGTTGAGAGCTTGTAAAGCTTCACCCTTAAGTATTGTAATCTAAGTTGCAGTTGTGTCAAAATGGACTTCTTTGTAAAGCTTTACTTCATGTAATACAGTTCAAGTGTTGAACAATCTACCTTTAGCTTGATACATGTGTAATTTGTTTTGAACAGGTACAATGCAATAGTGAAGTACAAGACTGCCTTTTACTCCTTCCACCTGCCAGTGGCGGCTGCTATGTACATGGTGAGTAAGGGGTCCACCCCACCGGCCAGTGTGAGTGGGCTAAACCTAACAGTCCAGTCTTACGCAGCTTGTACTTGCTGTTCAAATCTAATGTGTTGCACCTAAAAGGCAGAATATTTGGATTCTGCAACAAACAAACAAACAAACAAACAAACAAAAACTGTGTAGTATAAGACCTTCATCCACGATTCAAAACAGACAATATAGTAAGAGAATGTATGATTTAAGGTTGTTGTTTTCTTTCACCTCAGGCTGGTATCACCAGTAAGGAGTCCCACGAAAATGCCAAGACAATTCTTCTAGAGATGGGCCGCTTCTTCCAGATACAGGTAAAGACAGTCTTTCTCAAGATTAGACATCCTGGGAGAACTTCACATAATACAAATAGATCAAGCAATTGGATAAAGTCTGTGAGGAGTCGCTGTCTTTCATCAGTGACCCAGAAGTGATTCATGAGTGAGAAACAAAATAGGTAATTTAAAGTGACTTTCCCAAGGGCACAGCATTGGGGTCCGATAGGGATTCAAGCCCGGAACCTTTAGTTTCTAAGTCAACAACCCTAACCACAAGGCCACATTGCCACCTTAACAAGACCAACCCACCTGGCCATCTCTACCAACTTACTGTACTGCACATGTCACATGTTTTATCCAGAACCATGCTCAGACTTGGTACCAGATAGTCCATGTGTATCCAGAACCGTGCCTGGAGCAATTCCCAAACCATGTCTACCGATTCTAACCCTTACCCATTGAGGCACAGAACTAGATAGGCACGGTTCTGGATACAGTTATAGCACCTGTCCTTGTCCTAACTAGTGTAAAGACGTCTTGTATGATAATGTAAAGGATTGACTATCATTTCTATTCCAGGATGATTACCTGGACTGTTACGGAGACCCGGCGGTGACAGGGAAGGTCGGTACCGATGTGGAGGAGAACAAGTGCAGCTGGCTGGTTGTGCAGGCACTCAGGCTGGTCAACAACGGGCAGCTCACACTTCTGCAGGTGGGTTTGGCACTGTAGATGCCCTGTTGCTTGGTCTTCCTTTAGGGTGTCTGGTCCAGTTGTTGGCGACCCTGCCTCTGGATCAAGAGGTTGGGAGTTTGAATCCTGGCTGTTGTCACTCATCCGAAATGGAATGCTACTGGAAAGAGTTGCAGTGTCTGGGACAGGATGTAGCTGTGGTCCACTGTTCATTGTGCTTGTCGAAAGGAGCTAGAGAAATTCCCCCAGTACAATGAACCTGTAAAAACTGTACATAGCGTCTGTCTTCTCTGTCAGTGGAAGAGTAAGCTCGTCAGTGAGGTAAAACTGGATCGAGATCACTTTCCTTTTCTTGGCCAGTGTTTGTTCTTGTCATCACCTTCTACATTCAGCTAAGGCCTCACCAATTTGATTTCTTGGTTAACGGATTCGCCCGCTTCTTTTTTTTCTGATTTGCAAAAAAAAAATTCAGAATCAACTGCAAAATGCTCATATTTTGCCCTGAACAGCTGAAAACAGTCTTTTTATTCCTAGTTGTTACAGTTATTCCATCTTTCAATGCAGTGGTATCATTAAAAAGTTCAAAATTCATTGTATAAATTTTGAACCAGCCTGGTGTGTTGACTTCATGGCTAAAAGGTAAAAACACTGCAGTCACGATGTGTTTTAGTTCTTCTTTCCTATTTTTTCCCTCAGAATGCCCTGTTGTATTGGTCCATGTTTGTTCTTGTCATCTCCTTGTAGATTTATCCCATCTAGAACAGAATTGATCCCATCAGGGCAGTTTGAAGCCTGGCTGCCTGCAGCACGGAGAGTTAAATTACCGTCTAATGCCGTCACTCTTCTGTGGTGACCTCTCATATTGATTTTCTTTATCAAAATACACTCGGTTTCGACAGGGTTGACTTCATCATTACCTCTGTGTATAGAGATCTTGTTTTGGGTGAGTTTGCTTGTGTGTTTGTTTGTACAGTTGAGTGACAGTGCGTGGGTGGGGGGAATTCCCTAACCACGGTCCACAAAAGCTGCTATTGACTTTCTTTATCAGAATACAGTCAGTTTCAACAGGGTTGGCTTCATTGCATCTGTGTATAGGGATCTTGTTTTGGGTGTTTTTGCTTGTGTGTTTGTACAGTTGAGTGACAGTGCTTGGGTGGGGGAATTCCCTATCCACAGACCACAAAAGCTGCTATTGACTTTCTTTTTCAAAATTCAGTCACTTTCAACAAGACTGACTTCATTAATTTTTTTTTACATTTGTGTATAGAGATCTTGTTTTGGGAGTGTTTGCTTGTGTGTTTGTACAGTTGAGTGACAGCACATGGTGGGGGGAATTCCCTAACCACGGACCACAAAAGCTGCTTTCAGTTTATTTGGCTGTAGGCATAGCTTTTTTAATGGCAAATTTTGCAAGGGTTTCTGATTTTATGCATTTTTATGATTATTGTATGTTATTGTAGGAATTTGTATTTCATGTCAACAATTGCTCGACTTTGTAATTTGTATTGCACTGTATTTATATGTGTTAGGGAGGACAACTTGTAAAGGTGTCAATACACCTGTTTTGTCCTCCCTTCCACTTGTATGTTTGTACTTGTGGTGAATTCTAATAAACAAATAAACAAATGACGAGAAATTGTTTATTTTCTTCTCCAGGAAAACTATGGTCAGAATGACCCGACGAAGGTTGCAGCGGTGAAGCAGCTGTATGGGGAGCTGTGCCTGCAGGACGAGTTCTGGAAGTTCGAGGAGAGCAGCTACACACAGCTCATGACTCTCATCAACTCCTCTCACCAGGATCTGCCAAAGGAAATGTTCGTCGCCTTCGCACAGAAGATTTACAAGAGAAAGAAATAACAGTCTCCTTAAAGATTAAGAGAAAAATGACAGATTTTAGTGCATGGGATTCAGAGGATGGGATTCAGTCTATATTCAGTAGATCAGTTACACTCAGCCGGTGATGCTTGTCAATTTTCTCTCAGCAAAACCTGCCTAAGGAAATGTTCGTCGCCTTCGCACAGAAGAATTACAAGAGACAGAAATAACACTACTTAAAGATTAAGAGAAAAAATTATGGCATTTTATTAGATGGGATTCAGTCTATTTTCTATATTGAGCAGAGCAGTTACACTCAGCTGATGCAACTAACTCTTCTCAACTTCTTACCCGAAGAAATGTTTGTTGCGTTTGCTCAGAAGAATTATATGCAACAGAAATAAGTCTTATTCTTGCTCCATAAAGATTCTGAGAAAAATTTATGACACATTTTATCGGATGGGGTTGATTCTATGTTACCACTGCAAGGCCCAGACCTTTTGACAAGCTACACGCAAGAGCAAAGTATGCTGTGAAAAAGGTGGCAAAAGACGCACAAAGTGAGGAAAGTAGAAAAGACTAGTAGCTGATGGAAGTAGATTTTCGGATTCAACAACAACGACATGACAGTCACTGTATACTGGGTGTTGTAAATGTATTTAAGACAGCCTCCAGAAGTGAAGTCAGAAAGTAGAGATCTTGATATTAAAAGCAACATTCTGTATTGATGTAGATGTCATGGGTAATTCAGCGTAACTTTGATGTTATGTAATTAAGTTATGATTATAACAGTTTTTATCTGTATGAACAGACAAGCCAGCAAGATAAGTGTACAGTATGTGTATGTACAAATGCTGTATTGGGTGTCTGCAAATTATTCAATGCAAAGCTAATTAAAGGGAATGATAGATATAATGTCTCTATTTTACTTTGTCCCCGTTATTTTTCTTATCTAATTACTAATTTGTGCCCATTTTCTATTCTTGGCATTGAACCTAGGACAGTGGATTTTGAAATTGAACTCAATATTGCCTTAAAAACTACCTCTGCATGTCAAGTATCATGGCCAGCCTACCCATATGTGTGTGGAAGGCGTTCAGCACTAAGAACAGGCATACTTCCTAGGACAGTGGACTTTATAGATTGCTGTAGAGGTGCTAGTCAAGTATTACGTCTATCCTACCCTCTATACATGTGTGTCTACAGTAGACAATGTGTGTGTGTTCCAGTGTGTGGAAGGTGTTCAGCACCAAGGACAGGCTTATTCCTGGGACAGTGCACATATGGATTGTGTTGAAACTTGTATCTGCTAGTCAAGTATTACGTCTATCCTACCAATATACATGTACTTCTACAGTAGACAATGTAAGTAGCTCAAGTGTGTGTGGAAGGCATTCAGCACCAAGGACAGGCACACTTTCTTGGACAGTGGACTTATTCATTGCCTTAGAGCATCTATCCTACGCAGTTATACATCTGTACCAGTGAGTGTATGGTGTTCAGCACCAAGGACAGGCAGTGGGCTTTTGCATTGCCTCAAAGCTTACATCTGCATGTCAACCATCAGTTCTATAAGTAAGTAAGTCCAGTATCTCATCTGTCTCACCCATATAAATTTGTGCAGCAGAGAGCGTCTGCACCAGTGTGTGGATGGCGTTCAGCACCAAGGACAGGCATACTTTCTAGGACAGTGGACTTATGTATTGCTTTAGAACTGCTAGTCAAGCAAGACGTCTATCCTACCTATACACATGTATGTCTACTGTAGACAATGTATGTATACTCCAGTGTGTGGAAGGCGTTCAGCACCAAGGACAGGCATACTTTCTAGGACAGTGGACTTATGGATTGCTTTAGAACTGCTAGTCAAGCAAGACGTCTATCCTACCTATATACATGTATGTCTACGGTAGACAATGTATGTATACTCCAGTGTGTGAATGGCGTTCAGCACCAAGGACAGGCACTCTGACAATGAACTTATAAATTGCCTCAAAACTTACATAGACAAGTCAAGTATTTTATGATACTTATATACATGTTTGCACCAAGGAATGTGTGCCCGATTGTGTGGAAGGCGTTCAGCACCAAGGACAGGCATACTCTCAAGGGCAGTGCATACATGGATTGTCTTAAAGCTTACATACGCTAGTCAGGTATTACGTCTATCTTACCCATATACATGAAGGTATGCAGTAGACTGTGTGTGTGCTGCAGTGTGTGGAAATCGTTCAGCACCAAGGACAGGTACACTTTCTTGGACTGGATTTATGAATAGTTGCCTTAGAAATTACATATGCGAGTCGAGTAAAGCGTCTCTTCCACATGCACATCTACAGAAAATGTATGCTCCAGTGTGTGGAAACCGCTCAGCACCAAGGACAGACATACTTTCTTTGACTGGATTTATGAATAGTTACCTTAGAAATTACATATGCGAGTCGAGTAAAATGTCTCTTCTACATGCACGTCTACAGAAAATGTATGTATGCTCCATTGTGTGGAAACCACTCAGCACCAAGGACAGGCCCTTTCCTGTACAGCAAACATCTGATAAATGGAGACAGTCTATCAAGGTCCTACTCAGCCGTACGTCTGTACTAGTGTGTGGAAGGCGTTGAGAATAGTTGCCTTAGGCTTAGAAATTACATATGCGAGTCGAGTAAAGCATCTCTTCTACAAGCACGCGTACAGAAAATGTATACCCCAGTGTGTGGAAACCGTTCAGCACCAAGGACAGGACCTTCCTGTAGTTCAGACATGTGATAAATGGAGACAGTATATCTGGCGTCTCAGTCGTGCTGTTGTAACGCACCTGTGTGTGGAAGGCTTTCAGCACCAAGGACAGGCATACTTCTTGGGACAATGGGCTTATACATTGACTTAGAGCAATTATATATCCTACCCAGTTATACCTCTTCAAGAGTGTGTAGATGGCGTTCAGCACCAAGGACAGGACCTTCCTGTACTTCAGACATGTGATAAATGGAGACAGTCAATCAGACGGCCCAGACGTGCTTCTGTAGCGCACCTGTGTGTGGATGGCGTTCAGCACCAAGGACAGGCATACTTCCTGGGACAGTGCACATATAGATTGTCTTAAAACTCTCATCTGCTAGTCAAGTATTACGTCTATCCTACCTATATACATGTATGTCTACAGAACCCACGTGAGCGGAGGTGGAACAAACCATTATGGTCTAAAAAGGGGTAGGACGTATAAATTATCTATCCTACCCAGGCACTCTCTTCACGAGTGTGTAAATGGCGTTCAGCACCAAGGACAGGCATATTTCTTGGGACAATGGACTTATACATTGACTTAGAGAAATTATTTATCCTACCCAGTTATACCTCTTCACGAGTGGGTAGATGGCGTTCAGCACCAAGGACAGGCATACTTCTTGGACAATGGACTTATACATTGACTTAGAGAAATTATCTATCCTACCCAGTTATACCTCTTCACGAGTGTGTAGATGGCGTTCAGCACCAAGGACAGGAGCTTCCTGTACTGTAGACATGTGATAAATGGAGACAGTCTATCAGACGGCCCAGACGTGATTCTGTAGCGCACCTGTGTGTGGATGGCATTCAGCACCAAGGACAGGCATACTTCTTGGGACAATGGAATTATACATTTACTTAGAGCAATTATATATCCTACCCAGTTATACCTCTTCACGAGTGGGTAGATGGCGTTCAGCACCAAGGACAGGCACACTTTCTTGGACTGGATTTATGAATAGTTGCCTTGGAAATTACACATGCGAGTCGAGTAAAACGTCTCTTCCACATGCACGTCTACAGAAAATGTATGTGTGCTCCAGTGTGTGGAAACCGTTCAGCACCAAGGACAGGACCTTCCTGTACTTCAGACATGTGATAATGGAGACAGTCCATCAGACTGCCCAGACGTGCTCCTGTAACGCACCTGTGTGTGGATGGCATTCAGCACCAAGGACAGGCATACTTCCTGGGACAGTGGACATATGGATTGTCTTAAAACTTACATTTCCTAGCCAAGTTATACCTCTTCACGGGTGTGGGTAGATGGACGTTCAGCACCAAGGACAGGACCTTCCTGTACTTCAGACATGTGACAAATGGAGACAGTCTATCAGACGGCCCAGACGTGATTCTGTAACGCACCTGTGTGTGGAAGGCATTCAGCACCAAGGACAGGCATACATTCTTGGACTAGATTTATGAATACAGTTGTAGTTGCCTTAGAAATTACATATTCGAGTCGAGTAAAACGTCTCGTCTACATGCACGTCTACAGAAAATGTATGTATGCTCCAGTGTGTGGAAACCGTAATCTCCAAGCAGATCCCTTTCGGTGGCAAAAAGACGTACAGCGTTGGGAATGGGGATCTCCATGAAAAGCAAATGAAGATATTCTGTAAATGAACGTAAATCATTTTATTCTTTTTTTTTTATTTATTTCTTTATCACGTGAAGTGGGTCGTGAAACGATGCACGTTTTTATTGAATCTTATTGTTTATGTGATAAGATGACGGTGCAACAGGGATAGAAATAAAAGTGCACTTTATTTTATTCCCTGTCCGTTAAACGCCTGTAAGACCGGGGGGGGGGGGTGTCGTGTTTCCCGACCGAAGGCTACTAGGAAAACCCCCGTCAACTCTATCTTTGCTTTTTTGTCCGATCGCTAGAAAGGCAATTTTGACTATATTTATCTTAAAAGTTATTTCACGCATTTTCAGAAGCACGTTTTATAGAGGACATCGGGTGAAATATTTGTCCCTTCCCCACATCCAAATGGAGGGGCGGACGGTCGTGGAGACAGCCAAGTTTCAAAATCAAAGCGTTGCACCAGTTTTTTTTTAACCTACGACATACTGGGATATTGTCGCGGAGAAAAAATCATTTTAGGTGTGACGGAGGCTTTACTCCGACTGCGAAGTCCTTGTTGTATCCAGAACCGTGCTTTATCCAGAACCGTGCTTTATCCAGAACCGTGCTTTATCCAGAACCGCGCTTTATCCAGAACCGTACTTTATCCAGAAACGTGCTTTATCCAGAACCGTGCTCAGGCACGGTTCTGGATAGTCCATGCGTATTCAAACCGTGCCTGGGAAAATCTACGTTCTTGGGATACGCGGAAACTATCCAGAATTGTGCCTGATCCTGATCTTAACACTAACCCGCTCAGGCACAGAACTAGATCGGCACGGTTCTGGATACGTTATAGACTATTCTATTCCTATGGCCTGAACCTAGCCCAAACCCATTCAGGTACAGTATAGATCTAGATAGGCACGGTCCTGGATACAATAGGATTATTCCACTCACTGAATCCCTCCGCTGAACCCGGTTTTACCGCCATCAATTGTGCGGACATAAACCAGTGAACAATGTTCCCGTGATTGGATTCCGCGCGGAGAAAAGGCCAAAGCTGTAACGTGCTTAGGAGGATTGTGACAAACTGCGAGTACCACATCGGCGTGTGGGGATGCGGTAGTCTCCATCAGGCTCCTTTGCAGGCTGAATAAATAGTAGAAATCGGCCTAAAAAGGGGGCATAATTGGCCAGAGGAGTTGGCCGGCCAGAAAGGGTCCAATGCAGGGAATATTCCTATGGCCGGCGAACTCCTCAGGCCAATTATAGCCCCCTTTTAGAAGTCTCTACCAGACTCCTTTTGCAGACTGAATAAATACTAGAAATTGGCCTAAAAATGGAATATAATTGGCCAGGGAAGCTCAATTTTGCCTGCAGGCAATTATATCCCCTTCGTTTTTATACCGATTTCTACCATTTGTTCAGCCTGCAAAAGGAGTGTGGTGGAGACTACCTTTTAGACCGATTTCTACTATTTAATCAGCCTGAAAAAGTCTGTTGGAGACTACTTTTTTGACCGATTTCTACTATCTATTCAGCCTGCAAAAGGAGTCTGGTGGAGACTACCTTTTTAGACCGATTTCTACTATTTATGCAGTCTGCAAAAGTAGTCAGGTGGACACTACCTTTTTAGACCGATTTCTACTATTTAATCAGCCTGAAAAGAAGTCTGGTGGAGACTACCCTTTTAGACCGATTTCTACTATTTATGCAGCCTGCATGCAAAGGAGTCTGGTAGAGACTACCTTTTTAGACCGCTTTCTACTATTTATTCAGCCTGCAAAAGGAGTCTGGTGGAGACTACATTTTTAGACCGATTTCTACGATTTATGCAGCCTGCAAAAGTAGTCTGGTGGAGACTACCCTTTTAGACCGATTTCTACTATTTAATCAGCCTGCAAAGAAGTCTGATAGAGACTAAGGTCGCGGTGCCGTTTTGAGCCGCCGGCGCCGATATATTTCTCCAGCAACATGCATATGCAGGGCCATGCCGGGTCCATTCCGGCCACAAGGAGTCGCATAAAGCTTCGAAATCAATAACGTAAAAATACTGAGCTGGGAGAAAGTGTGGGCGGATTTGGGTGAATTGTTTTCCTTTAGAATGCACGAATGAAGACCTTTATGGTACGCACATACCCGCTGGGTTAAGTACAGGTCAGAAAAAATACAAAACAGATAACGTTGTATATATATACATTGTCAACTAGCTACAGTTAAGTACTTTTTTAGCGCTGTGTGATGCCTGGTTCGAGTTTTCGCCTTACCTGAACGATTACTGTAAGTTCGTTTACTTTTGCGGTGGTCTTAATTTGCGGTAGAAGCAGAAAGTACGTTTTCGTGGTGTCTTGAGTTCGCGTTTTTTAAAATCTATTTTTATATATCTATTCTTTTACCCAGGGTATAACATATCGCCGCAAGGAAAAACAAACAAGAAAACAAAGATACAAAATAACTTTATTACAATGATAATAACATATTGGTAAAAGTGCTTCAAAGTCATACGGCAAACTAATGAATTACGGTGTCATGATTTTGCGTTGGAGAGGTCACCGCGAAAATGTAGCCACCGCGAGTATTTCAAGAATAACAGTCTTCGTATCATAAGGCCACACCGCCTTAATTTTATGGATGACATCCGCGCGTGCATTGATTTTCGTCTGTTCTCAAAAACAAAATCACGTCCACCGTAGCTCAGGCCTGGCTCTAGACCTGGGTAGTCCATGATAGTTAGCGACAATACGGAGCCAGGCACCCAGGCTACCGAAGCCCCAAGACTCAAGAACCCAGTACATACGCGCAGTGTCGATTCATAAATTCCGCAAAAAGCCAGCATGTGCCGGCTTGTCGTATACGTCGCTAAGTACTGTCACAATACCAGCTTTGTATTCTTTTGGTTTAGTAGCATTTTTATTTTTGACCGGAATTTTTTTTATTCGCTCGCCCGCACTAGTTTGGTTTCAGAGGATGTCATCCATAAAATGAAGACGGCGTGGCCTAAGATTGGACACAAATCATGCAGTCAACAAGCCGTACTTTATCAGCGGTGCAATGTTGACTTACAGTCTGCTTCCGGATGACCGTAAATTCACGTAGTACGTATATGTTGTTTTATGTCTATTTATTTGCGCATGGAACAAAGAAACAAATCATGAAGTTACATCAATAAGAAAGACAATACAGGGGAGGCATTTGTTTAGCCTCCTGTGCAGGCCCCGCGGCGGTGGGGAAGAGTTTTTAACGCGTTAATTTTAATATAGCCGGCCACCCTACATATCTCCCGTGGGCGGAGTGGAACCTTCTCTCGGCGGCTATGTAGGACGGCCGGATATATTAAAATAACGCGTTAAAAACTCTTCCCCACCGCCGCGGGGCCTGCACAGGAGGCTAGCATTTGTTAGTGTTTTTCGTGGGCTCCCCCACAAAGCAAGGGTATAAGTTTAAGTTTAGCAAATGATAAGTAACGAAATAACAAAAACAAAAATTTGACAAAAGTTGAAGCAGTCACACGGAGACGAGTCTTGGGACAGATACCCATTTCCATGTCTACATTGTCCAACCCACCATGTACTTCGGTTGGGGAAAGTCGTATTGAGGTCACCTTGTGGCGCCGAATGGCAGCCGCACAGACCCTTGCGACAGTTCCACAAAAAATAATTGTGGAACAAATATGTGTATCATGTGTATTATTTGATTGTTGTAATTGTTGTGATTTGTATTGATTATGTGATACCCTGCATCAATTCAGCCGTATAAAGGCTGCGACTGTACGGGTACTGTTTGGACAATAAAAAAAAAACATTTATGTACCAACGACCAGGCCAGGTACTAGGTCAAAGGACTCGGTAGGTAAATTTACAGTGCTGATAATATAGAGCGTCTTGTAATATCCAGCATGAATTATTTAACGTGAAGTATCGAAGTAATTTCTCCGAACTCCGTTGGTGAATCAGACACGTTTGTTTCTTATGGTTGTTTGTGGTCACATACGTCGCCCGATCGTGGGGTAGTCGTGCTTTTGTCGTACAGAATTCGGCCGGCGTCCTGTTACGGAACAGGCTTTCTTAGATTCAAATCCTTGTTGACGGTTGGTTCTGTCACAGTCTGCTTGAAAATTCTTTGGCATCAAAATCTTGCGATGACCTACGGCGTACGTAACAATATGAGTTTTTTTAGTGTATAATGTATATGTAACTTTATTATTAATTTAAGACGTATGGAACAAATACATACATGACAAAATACAGCTATTTACAAATGCACGTGTCTCCTCTCATGATGTGTAAGTCGTAGCGTTAAAATAAGTCTAGCTACTCCCTATTTTACTGTTTGTATATGACTGTTGTGTTTTGTTGTGTAAAACAGGGCCCCATTGAAAAGAAGTGTAATCACTTAATGGGCCACCCTGTACAAAGATGACAGAAAATAAATAGATACTTGAGTGCGTTACGTAACCACTTTGTGTTGTACTATCTTCCTAAATTAATGTGTGAACAATAAAATGAATAAATGAAGAAAAGTGGCTCCCGCCGGAATTTGCTTTTGGGTGCAGATTGTGCGAGCATCCTGCGGCATTGGTGCGATCCGTAAAGTGACAATGGCTTAAGGGAAAACTCAGTAATACGTCATGTAACGGCATCCTCCCAGAATCCCCCGGTCACGTCACTAATTCAAAACTAGCCTCCAGCAGGCGGGAGTCCCTGCGGGTCAGAGCTGCTGACGTAGCAAAATTGTTCCACCAGCGGCCCAAACAGCCGGCGTTACTGTCGGAGCAAATTGGCCTTGTCAGCAATTATGTGCGTCTGGCTCCTGGTAACAGGGTGGCAGCCTAGGCTACATCCGGGGTGGGATATGTGTGTGTGTGTGTGTCGGGCTCTGTTCCGTTCAAAGAGGGTTCCGGTGCAGCGAACAAGTCGATGAGAAATGGCTTTTCATTTAACAAAAACGTCCGCGGCCTGTGCTTAACTTGTTAGGGTGATTGTCGTGTATTGATTGGGGCCCCAGCAATGACGCGCGGCAAGGTCTTTGAGTAACGTGTGCAGAAGGGGCACCATGGGGTTTTCGGGAATCCTGGTATATACTAGTAGATTGAATCGTCCTTGCGGGTTACTCAAAATAATGATTGAAAAAAAAACAAGAGATCGAAGATTTCATACCCCCGCAGCTCTAAATCAAATAGCCATTTGCATTTCATTCTCAGTCACCTGTTAAAGACATTGGATGCAATCTGAAACGTCTGACTCTTCAAAATGATTTCTCCAGTTTCTTGATGTTCTACCTAGATGTCTAGCCTTCATCAACGTAGTAAGTCAAGGTACATTCTACTTGCAACCTCCAATGTCCCCCATACGTACATAATCCTCAAAAGAGCGGGCAATAAATTGTTGCATATTTTCGAAATCCAATGTCCCTCATGTGCGTAAGAAGAGTAAGCTGAAATATTGGCAGTTGAATCGTTTTGTTTTACCGGAATCAAGGAAGAATAGTAAATATCACCAATGAAGATATGAATAAAGCCAAACCAAATCAAATATTTGTAAATCTTCGACCTCAAATGTCCCCCATGTGTACACGATCCTCAAAAGAGTTAGCCGAAACATTGGCGGCAAATTTACGACACCCCCCCATGTGTAGCCTCCGGCACCACTGCGGCTCCCCCGTCGGAAGCATTGGAGGCTCGGCACAGGTGCAGGCAACAGGACCGGAGTCAGTCACAGCCAGATCCGGCACCATCCGCAGCAGACCTACAGGACCGCCACGTTCCGTGTCACCCTGCAGACAACAGGCGGATGGGTACAACCAGAGACACCAGGGAACCGTAGTCTGTGAGAGAAACACACACGGGAGAGAAGAAACAGCACGAAGGTAAGGAATCTTCAGATTTTCTTCTTGGTATGTTGAGGAGATTCTGAGGAGATTCTCTTTCTGGTATAGCGCAGACGTGCGCAATGGTATCGGTGAAATGTCATCTTCCATTCTTTCGTAATTGTCGCTAAATTCTGTACATTTCTACAAATAATCAGGTGAAAATCCACCATTGTCTTACTTACAGCAAACACTATTGGACCAGTACGAAGAATACTATTACATCAGATTGGAATCCTCAGGTGCAAATTTGCGCAATGGTATCGGTATACCTTCAGAACGGGGGCTTCCATTTTGCGTATCCTGCATTCTGTGTATTTCCAAAGCATGGCTCCTTAGACAATAGCGAAATAAGCAGGTAAAACTACATCCTTATCTTAAGCATACTACGAAGCCTATATTATAATGCTAATGTTACTTCAGATTGAAATCCTCAGGTACAAATGTGCGCAGTGGTATCGGTAAATCGTCATAACGGAAGTCTTCCATTCTTTCTTAATCGTCGCTAATTCTGTACATTTTTACAGATCTTAGACCAAATAATCAAGTAAAAATCCATCCTTGTCTTACATTCAACAAACCCTATTGGACCATCAGGTTGAAGTCTTAAGGTGTAAATTTGCGCAGTGGTATCGGTAAAACGTAAGAACGGACGTATTCCATTTTTCTATTGCCAAAATTCTGTATATTTCTAAAGCATGTATATTTCTAAAGCACTCTTTACAATAAAGGTTCAGTCTATGTGTAAGTTCAAACCCTTTCTTATCTTACATACAACAACCCCTATTGAACCAGTAGACTACTATTACATCAGATTATAATCCTCAGGTGCAAATTTGCGCAGTGGTATTGGTAAAATGTCAGATTGGAAGTCTTGCTGACAGCTTCCATATTTTCGTTGGCTAAATCCTGTGCATTTCTACAGACCTTAAGATCAAATAGACGGGTGAAAATCCATCCCTATTTTATATACACTATAATCCCCAATGGCACAGCGTAATTTCATTCCTTCAGATAGTGGATGTGCGCAGTGGTATCGGGTAAACGTCAAACCGGAAGTCTTACTGACAGCTTCCATTCTTTCGTAGATTAAATCCCTTCAGCTCCTACAGCCATGAAACAGATCTTAAGGTCATATACGCAGGTTGCCACAATTCCCATTTTGCATACAACAAACCCTAATGGCACAGTGGAACGCTATATTTCTTCAGACTGAACAGTTGTTCAATGATACCAGTGATATTCCGTTCTAGTTTTGAAGGGACGTAAGTGGTGATAGATATGTGAAATACGGGTAGGGTCTTGACAATGGTGCACTGGGGGCTGTGCATTTTCTTAAGGCGCGTTCACAAGATGGTGCAAGGCCTGTTTGGTTTGAGTAAGATGCAGAGAAGGTCATCACAATCTTCCAGAGCAATGGAGTAGAAATATTGCGTCAGAATCCTGTGTCTATCATGATGTCAGAAGATGGAAGATGCCACCAACCAATTGTGCGGTCTTTCTGATAACATCAACTTCATAAGCAAAGCCAGGCGCATTTAGCGTATCGATTGCATAAATGATAAGATATTGGTATAAACATCGCAGTAAAAATACTGACACTGCCATCTATACTTGCAGATATCACCAGTTGAAACAAAATAGCGGTAACGCCCACCTTTCCAATAGAGGCTGCAACAACTGAGCGACCAAAAATGTGAAAGATCACTCGACGAATTTCCTACCAAAGAACAAATATTCTCACGTCTTGTGTGTTTTGCTGTCTTTCTGTATTATACTTTAACATCGTGCATCATATTCCAAATATAAAATCATGGGTCAACCGTACGCTCGCAGTGATTACCGTGAAAATGGGGTCCATACAAATATCATGGTAATATTGTAGTTTTCTTATAGATTCTTCAAAGGCAAACTGACGTTGTGGTTACGGTATATGGCTGTGCATTCGTATTAAACATCTTGACCAACGATCCTCATAGGTAACATGTATTTACTGTCACATATTGTTTCGGTTATAACCCAATGCGTTGTAAACGTCGTTGAAAGGAGGCGTTAGCAAACGCTGTTTATTCACCACGACACCCAGAGCAGACAGCTATAAACCTCACCGGCAGAACGACCTGAAATCTGGTTTCCCTCTTGTCTGGGGGGACCACCACAAGGAGAATATTGAACCTGTCACGCCACCATTTTCTGACTCGAAGCTACCACGGCCGTGACTGCTACATTTTCTGCCCAGGGCGCGCGTGTGGTGTATATATCGGACTGGCAAGCGGATATGAAGATGTACGGCGCAGGTTATCAACAGGCACACCCACTCCGCAACCTGCTTATCCTTGTACCATGCTGAACGCTTCTGCTAGATATTGAATGACTGAAGACCTATATGTAGGCTGTATTGTACATTTTTGCCCCATGGGGCTAAGCATAGGTCACAAGTTTGCAAACATGCACATACACAAACAGACATCTGATATACACTAGTGCATTCGGCTTCTTCTCGCTTATTGCTTGGTAATTGTATAAGTGTAAGAAGATGTAACAAGATACGGTGCGAGGAATGTGCATCAGGACTAATCAATATTCATTACTGCATGTAGATGGGAATATCAGGTATATCACAGTGAACCAAGCCAAAGGTTTCCAAAATCAATGTTCCCACATATTTTGTATGGCGAGGGCGTCCTTGCTGTAGCGCAGGGGGAACGTATTGCGTTTGTCCCTTGATCGATGTGGGGTATGATATGCAGATGAATAATGTCCGCATCGATTATTCAGGATAAAGTAGGATTGCTTGGATTAAAGTAAAAACGTCTTCTTTTCCAGAACATATCATGTTTAGTCACCTACAATGCTGTTTTTTTCCGTCGTGGAATCGCCGTACTTCGTAGGTTTCAGAAGAGATAGTTAAGAAAAAGAGTTTGATTTTTCAACTATTGCAGCTGTTTCTTCTGAAATCTACGACGTACGGTACCGTCTTCGAGGAAGAAAACATTCATCATAGGTACATTGTAAGATCATGTATGTGTTCGGGGCTTGTTTACGATACCCTGTGTTACGCCCCCTCCCCTTAAACACACAACACACACACAACACACACACACAACACACGTGCGCGCGTGCGGATACGCACACACACACTCACACACACACACAACGCACACACGCGCGCGCGGACACGCACACACACTCACACGCACACAACGCGCGCGCGCACACACACACACACACATACATGCACACAAACACACACACACACACAAACACACACACACACACACACACACATACACACGCGCGCACGCACGCATACGCACACACAAAGCACACATACACACACAAAGCACATACGCACACACACATACACGCACACACGTATGCACACACAGACTTGGAATCAATGCTTACATTTGGTTATTCTAACCAGATTCTGTTCATCAACAGCCCTTGAGTTTCGCTCGATCGAAATATTCAGCACCATTGCCAGCAAACCTTCATTCCTCTCAATTTTTATCTGCTTGAAGAGTGAAACATCGTCAATGCCGGTACGCCTGATGGATTGGAAGTCCTGGCGACGAAAGGTCTTCTTGCCATAACACTTCCAGCAGAGATTGATCTCCTCCCAAACTGCAACTTTTCCACGGCGCGATCGCTAAATTGTTGAAATAAATTCAAGGCAGGAGGCATTCTCAAAGTGCATCACAGTAATAAAAATCTCTCTCCGTGGCAGACGGATGTAGGAGCTCTAAACCTAGAACACATTTGTCAACATGTAGCCTTGCCTGTTTTGATTCCGAATCGTGTGTGAGGTTCCAATCGACGTGATTGCGCCGTGGAAATTTTAGTGTCCTCACATTCCCCCGGGAAGTTGCCGCTGAAATGCCGTAAGCCACAGCTTCTCCCGCTGATTAAGCTGCGCGGCAATCTCGGGGATTGTGACGAAAGTTCACTGCACCGGACGTAAAACAAAAATGACGTTTAATCTTGCCTTTCCCCCCAAAGGAGAGACATGGCATTGCGTTTTCCCAGCACTGGCTTGTCTACATGAAGGCCTCAAGCACCCCCCCCCCCCCACACACACAAACAGACACTGGTCAGGCTCCTCGAAGCTTCATGACAAACACTAAGTCAGGAGAATTGTTAACATCTTAATCCAGTTGATTATGCATACCGTTATATGCTTTCATAGACCATCTATTGTCAGATGTCGAGAATTTTCTGTCACCAAAATGTTGAAGTCCGTGACAGACAATCCTGAGCTCCTATTGCACTGATTTTTATAGTAACTGTGATAAACTTCCTTCTATTGGTAGTTCTGGGAATGGAAATGTGTTTTTTATTTATTTCTCGAATTAGAGGTGTATGACCGCAAGCTCTCGGGGAGGATGCTCGATCAGTCCCTGACAGTGAGAGATTGTGTAACACAGGCTAACCCAGCACGTAAAGGAACTGCGCGCCCCAACATTTTACACACGCCCCAGGCTGACAACAATGGTGACTGGGGAATGTATGATGGAGTCCCGGGGTCAGATACATACATCGTGCGGCGCACCTACGATGGAGAGACTTTTCTCTGCCGTGCTTCGTCGTAGATTTGAAAAGAAACGGGTGCAGTTGTTTAGAGGGGAAAGGTAGTCCCATACAGGTGGGTTCGTGTGGCTTAACGGCATTGTATTTGGCCCAGAATCCATGATGTTCGAACTTCGAATCCTGTCACGTCACAGATATTGTGACTCACAGATATAATGACTTCCCTTACTTCGCCCAGGTGTAAAATGTGTACCTGATTTCGGTTGGGGAGGTAAAAGGCGGTTGAATGAGAGGGATGGGCTCCACCTGCCAATACCGTGCCCTAGACAGAGAACAACCAAAGCCCCTACGGCTTCAGCAAAAATGGTTATGGGACTAACTTTAACTTTACCCACCTAGGCCCGTACCCTTTTTGAGGCCACAGAGGCAGTTACATCCGTTTCTTCTCAAACCTATAACGTACGGCATGG